CTGCAGATAGAGCACCAGCTTACAGAGGGCGTATCCGAAAAACCACGTCTCCCAAGTGTCCCATAGCAACGTCGGCATGAGGCAGATGAGAATCACCATGAAGTCGCCGGCCGCCAGGTTGAGAATGAACATGTTCGTCACCGTCTGCATGTGATTGACGCGCAGCACGACGTAGCAGACGAGAAAGTTGCCGATGAGGCCGACGACGAAGACGATCATGTAGATGCAGAAGATGATCCAGTCGTACCACTTCGGGAAGACGTAGCGGTAGATCATCTCGTAATACTCTTCGTCCGTCACGCAGTACTCGTTCGTGCAGTTGTTGTCCGCCATCATCATCGTACCGTCGGCGGCTCCGTCGTTGGCAGCTATCGCCGCCATCGCCGCCATCGCCACCGTCGTCGCCGCGTCCGCGTGATCAACGTAGTCAAAGGATCCGGGATCGGTCGCCGGATCCATGTTAGATGGAGATAATAGCTTGGTACTGCTGCTGCTGCTGCTGCTGCTGATGATGATGATGATAATGATGACGTTACACTAATGTTACTTATACTGCTGCTGTTGCTGCTGCTGTCGCTGCTGCTGCTGCTGCTGCTGCTGCTGCTGCTGCTGTTGCTGTGGCTGTTATCCTAATGTTACTGGTTTGATTACAAATTGGTCACGTCCCGCGGCTGCTCGCAGGGACGTGTCGCTGAGACGAGAGCTCGCTGTTAACTGCCGAGCTGCGTTTGCATGCCGCACTCCACCGAAAGACTCAGAGATGCGCGCTCACACAGGCACGCGCACAGCATCGCCACCAGCAGCAGCAGCGGCAGCGGCGGCGGCGGCGGCGGGGATGCGCGCACACGCATCAGTAGCAGCAGCACAGGCACTTGGAACGTGTCAATAAAAAAATAATGGTAAATAAACGCGAAATGTATTTACTACCAAAGTCTTAATGTTTCTCTACTCTATGTCGCCTATTATTGCCGATAATTTCCCGTAAATGCCAGTCAAATGCTCATCAGCAACACACAAGTACACCGCACGCCCGCCCTGCGCACAAACAACATAAAAAAGATAATAATAAGATATAATCCTCTCTTATTCATGTTGTTTGTGCGCAGGGCGGGCGTGCGGTGTACTTGTGTGATGAGCATTTGACCGGCATGAAGGAGAGCTGTTCTGCCAAGGAAATCGAATCATTGAATTTTATGTTAATGAAAATCAGTTATGCACGTCCTCTAGCATGGTTTTTAGTCACATGCATGTTCAAATGACATTTATACATGTATTTTATGTAAACATGTACATATCCGTGTACATATGTACATGTATTTACATATCTACATTGAAATACACTAATTTTACACACATTTGGTGCCAGAAAATAGATAATTATCTTCGTTTCACTCTATTGTGGCACTCCTAACACTAACAGTATCAAAATATCTTGACTTTATTGCTTGAAATTCACCCTAACCCTCGTTCTAACACTACTATACGCATAACCGCATGAAGCGAACCTTAATTTCCATTGATTTCTGTGTTTTGGGGGCTCATATCAGAGAGTGATCTCTCAGCTCGTGGAGTGATGCCACATTTGAAATTCGGTACCCGTATAAGGGAAATCGTCTAAATCATTCATTTAAAATTTCAAGTCGATTCGTATCTCCGCTGCTCATTAAGAAGGCATGCAACAGTAAGCCTCCGCAATTGTTCACCGTTGCACTATTTCGTCTCTAGAAAATTCCTTTTTTGGCATTTTTTTTCGCTAAAATTCGGCACTAGAATAAGTAACAGAAGTAACAGTGTGAGTATTTTTAATTAATATCTGTTCGATGCTTATTCAGACCTGCTGCCTATGGACACGATCTACTGTTGTTTACCACCTATACATAGGTGTGCAGAATGCGTTGAGAGATGAGAGATGAGATGGGATAAGCAGGTGCGCTCTCTCGGGTCCAGCAGGTCCAGCTGCTGTGTAACTGATTACAGCACAGATCTGCGATAACACAGCAATAGCGCGGCTGT